AACAGTGCAACAATGAATGAATGAAAACCCAAAATCTCTGTAAATGTTCATTAAAACTAATAAAATTTAATAATAATTTTTTAAAAGGCAAAAAAAAACCCAAACTCATAAATGGTGATTCTATACCTGGGTCTTGGCTGATGATATATACATAAATCAGGTTAATTACATTTGTGGAAAGAAACAGTGAGGAAGCTCAATATCAGTAGCAATAATAATGCCTGCAGTCAGCTGTGGAGCAGACAATTAATTAGTATTCATGTGAAAGTTTTAACTGAAATTGAAGAAACTTAAAACAAGTCCAACAAAAAAATATTCATATTTTAGTTTATGCCACCTGAATTTAAAAATCATCTCAAGAACAGATGGATGAATTTAACTCTAATTACTAAAGACCAAGAGTCCATGGTGAACAGGTTTTAATGGAGCTCCCAGAATAAGACAGACTAGGACACTGGATTAGTCATCTACTTCTTAAGCAGCAAGCCTCTGAAAACCCTTTGAACAGTAAAGGAACACATGTGGTTATAGTACTAGAGGTAGAATCCATTTTGGAAGTCAATCAAAATGAGAAATAATAGTGGCAAATATCCTTTAATAATTGGAATATAGAATGTATGAAGCATGAATGCTGGAAAACTAGAAGTTGTTAAAAGTGAAATGGAACTCATGAACGTTGACCTTCTAGGCATTAGTGAAATGAGATGAACTAGCTTTGGCCACTTTGAATAAGACATCACAGATATACTACTTTGGGAATGAAAAAGAGAAGAAGGTGTTGCATTCATTATCAAAAAGTCAATTTCAAGTTCTATCCTAAGTACAATGTTGTAAGTGGTAGGGTGTTATCTATGTGTATACATGGAAGAACTATTAATATAACTATTACTCAAAGTTAAAGACAAGGGAATTGAAAAATTTTGCCAAATCTTGAAGGCCAAAATTGACAAAATATGCAATTAAGATATGTTAATGATAATTAGTGACTGGAATGCAAAAGTTGAAAACCGTGAAGGAATGATTGTAAAGATGTATGGACTTTGTGACAGAAATGAGCCTGGAAATGTTGTCATTGTTGTTAGGTGCCGTTGAGTTGGCTATCACTCATAGCAACACTATGAACAAAAGATCTGAACCATGTCCTATCCTGTGCTATCCTCACACTTCCTGACACACTATAGCCCATCATGGCAGTTACCATGTCAATACACCTGGTCGAGGATCTTTCTCTCCTTCGCCGACCCTCCACACTTCTCCAAGGAACAGCCCCTTCTAGCAATATGCCCAAAGTACATGAGGCAAAACTTCATCATTCTTGCCTCCAAAGAGCCCATCTGCTGCACCCTCTCCAAGACATATTTGTTCTTTTGGCCATCCATGGGATGTTCAGTGTTCCTCTCCAACACTGCAGCTCAAAGGTATCAATTCTTTTTCTGTCATTCTTATTCTTTTTCCAGCTCTCAGACGCATAGCAAATGATCAATAAGACCATGGCCTGAGTCAAAAGCACTTTAGTCCTCAAACTGACATCATTACTCCTCAATAATTTGGAGAGGGCCCTAACTGCAGATTTTCCCAGTGCAATGTGACATACTCAAGCTGAGCAGAGATGGACTGGGAAAATGCTACCAACTTCCTGATGGTTAGTCAGGTAAAGGGAAAATCACTTTCATAGTCTCCGAAGGGCATGGAGGACAAAGGGACACATTGTACCTTTCTCATCATCTTTTAATCAGTAGGAGTGGCATCAACTTCCTAAACAACATGCTTCTGGAAACTATTAATTTTAGAAAGGCTTCAGCCCTTTTGTTCATAGGATTGCTATCAGTCATGCTTGACTTGATGATAATTAAGAACAACAACATTAATCACTAGTAACAGTATTGCTACTGTCCCGCTCCAACCAGACAGGTGCTCGGAATTGCCTGCATGGGCTATTTAAGCTTTTATGTTCTATGTCTTTCTCCTTATTGAATATGCATTCAGTTTCTCTCTTCAGTCAATGTTTGAAGTATTTCTTTGTCCTTTCTTAAACTCACAACTCAAGAATTATCATCTGTAGCTATCATCTTTTTTTCTGTCTTTGTTGTAGGGAGTCTGAACAGCTGTTGTTCTAGTCCACTATTTTACCTGGAAGAGCCTGATGTTGGTTTATATTAAACTATAATATATTTAGTATTTTTGTGTATGAAAGAAAATATTAGATACTATGAACAGTGCTCAGGCCTTTTGTTCATAGGGTAGCTATGAGTGATCTGCGACTCAACGGCACCTAACAACAATAACAACGAAGACATAGAGAGAGCTACATTGGCCTAGTGGACAGAAAGTTATGCTACCAAGCTGAAGGTGGGTAATTCTAATCTGCGCCCCTCAGGCCTGGTTCAAATTGTTTTCCTGTCAAACAATCTTCTAGGTGGTATAGCACTGGTCTGTGTGCATTGCTGTACAGAGGTAACTCATGGTTGCTGTGATGCTGAACACTGTGACACTGATGTGCCAAATGTGATAATGGTTACCCATGGTGGACAGTGTCTGCTGGAGTTTCCAGACTAAAATAATCCTGGAAGCAGGAGTGGCATCCACTTCCGAAATGGCTTTCCTCTGGAAACTCTATGAACAGTGCTCAGCCCTTTTGTTCATAGGGTCGCTATGAGTTGTCTACGACTTGACGACACCTAACAACAACAATAATAGGCAAATTTGTCTTTTTCTTCCTTACTTTAACATAGGTGGTGTTTCCACTCTTCAGTGAAGTTTTAATCATAATTTCCCTAACGAGAAACAACCTACATGTTCTTTAATAGATAAATGGTGAATAAGAAAATTGTGCCTTCTTGATCTTATCTGATTAATTGTTCTAAAGAGCACATTCTTGGTGTTATTGAACCTCTTATAGGTTTGTATTTGGTTTTGTTTGAAGTTACATCTCTAGGATGATTTCAGTACCAAACTTGAAGTATAACTAAGGGCCATACTCTTGGTAGTTTCACTAGTGTCTATCTAACCTGTTGTTGTTGTGTACTATCCAGTCAGAGCTGACTCATAGCTGACCATCCAGCAGATCTTTAGAGGCAGTAAATTTTATGGGAGGAGATTGCTCATCTCCCGTGGAGCAGATGGTAGATTTGAACCACGTACTTGCATAATTGAAGCACAGCTTCTTACCACCAGAGCTTCCTATCTAACCAGTAAGCTTAATCATTTTTTTTTAAATTTAGTTTGTTTATTTTTCATTTCAATGAACATCTACAGAGATTTTGGGATTCCATTCATTCATTGTTGCACCCTTCTCCCCG